TTATTTCACCTCTAACCTTCCTTGCATTATCTTACACATGAGCTTTTGGGGGACACTTCATTCCTAAACCATAATAGGAACTGTTCCTGAAACCAGGTACTATTTAGACAGTATGGTGACAGGGTATGGTGACTTGGGATGTTATGGACACCTGTAATTCTGCCACTTCTCAGTCCTCAGGAGCCAATGATCCCTATCTCTCCTACCTTTGGAAACCCACCCTGTGCAAGCTCCATAAAATTCTGCCAATAAAAGTCCCAGGATCCCATGTTCTTGTAGGGTTTTCTTTAGTGCTGAAGGGTGGGGGTGCCGCAGTCTGGCTGGGCAAATAACCGGGAGGTGACAAGCAACTTGTGAAGGTTGAAACAGCGGGAGCCGCTTTATTACGGGACAGCAGAGGTATATATACCCAACTAATTACACACAGCTTAACTTAATTAACATCATCTAGATATAGCAGTCAGTCATTAAGGAATCCTCATCATCTTAATGGCTCGCTGGCGTTACTTCACAAACCACTCCTCCTGGCAAACTGCCAGGCACCATCTTGACTTGGTTGTGGCCCTCAACATGAGGGTGTTTCTATGCAACTTTAGCCCTACCCCTGTCCCATTCACAGAAAACCAGTCTCCCTGTCAGAGAGGAAAGGAGGCCTCCAGGAAGGCCAAAGTTGAGGAGAAGGATCCCCCAATGACAGCGTGTCCCTGGCCTCACATAGCTACTGACACAGTATTGTTCCTTTTAGGGATTCATTTATTTATTGTGATGCTGGGGATTGAACCTAGGGCTTCACTAGGTAAGCCTAGGGCTTGCTAGGTAAGCACTCTACCACTGACACCCCTAGTCCCTTGGGTTTTAATTTTTTTTTTAAATAAATCAGTTTGGGTTGGTTTCTTTCACTTTCAGCTACAGAAGTGGAGATTATCTCACAGCTCCTTGAGGTGAGCAAGAGGCCTTCATTGCCAAAGTGACTGGGCGCCAATGTGGCTCAGACTCATTGACTGAGAGAAGCTGAGACTCAGGTCACTGGTACAAGAAAATCCTTGACTCCACCCTCCAGATTGATGCCCCAGGGTCTAAAGGCCAGCCTGGTCTGAGAAGAGGTGTGACCAGCACCCTCCTCTCCCTCCAGGCAGGCTTCCTCCTGAACTGAGCTGAGAGCCTCTCTCCAGAGCCATCACATTCTGGGAGGAGGTGAGGTGACAGCTGTGTGTCCTGAGCCTTGTCCCCAGATCAGGTGTCTGTGGGTGGGTGGGTGAGAGTGACTGAAAGTTGGCATGCTCTCCCTACTCAGGACACTCTTGTCCTCAAGACAGAGCAAGGCAACCCCATCCTCACCCTGGACCCCTGACTCAGCACTGCCACTGCCGGCCTTCCCTGAGGAGTCAACTCAACTGGGGATCCTCTCATGGCCCCCGCCAAGTTCCCCAGAGCAATAACTGCCCTGGGTCCCCATTCATCCCTGTGAGCAGACACCTCACCTTGTTCTTCTGTCCACATGCTCTGCCCATTTCTACCCCAAGCCTTTGCTCATCCTGCTTTGTGCCCTGCCTGGAAGCCTTGGTCTCTACTTACCCAGATTCCAGGTCCCTTCAAGGAATGGCAAGAGGGTGCCACCACTCCTGCTGGGACCCGAGACTGTGGTGAGCACACTACCCAGAGGATTGGTGCCTCCACCCTTCACCTCCAAGCACTTCCCTTCCTTTCCACTAGGTCAGTTTTCCCCAGAAGTTTATTTTGGGTTTTGTAGACTGAGAAAACCTCCCAAACATTTTGAACTGACCGAATTCACATAAAAAATACTTACAATGAAACAAAACTGCTCTATTATTGCCATTATTTCACAAGAACTCATTATAAATAACACTGAAAAGTAGGACAGGTGATTTCAGTTAAATACATTTATTTCTAGCAAAATAAAGTATATTAACCCTACATTTTTCATCTTGCCATAGACCATTTGTTATGCTTTGCATGTGAGGTGTCCCCCAAAAGCTCATGTGTGAGACAATGTAAGAAAGGTTAGAGGAGAAATGATCGGGTCATGACAGCCTTAATCCCATCAGTGCATTAACGGCCCAATGGGATTAGCTGGGTGGGAACTGAAGGCGGGTAGGATGTGGCTGGAGGAGGAGGGTCCTTGAGGACACACATTTGGAATATATATCTTGTATCTGGAGAGTGGAGTCTTTCTCTCTGCTTTCTGATCGTCATGTGAGCTGCTTCCCTCCCCTACWCTCTTCCGCCACGATGTTCAGCGCCCCCTTGAGCCCTGGAGCCTGCTGTCTATGGATTGAGACCTTTGAAACTGTAAGCCCCCAAATAAACTCTTCCTCCTCTAAAAAAGTTCTTGTCCAGTCTTTTAGTCACAGCAGCAAACTAAATACCACCGACTAAACACCACTGATAACATTGTCATGGAAGGCACTGCTTATGCCCCCAGAAAGATGTAGGAAAGCAGAAGAGAGATGCTTGAGGACAGGGGAGGAGGGAAGTGAGGGGAGGGAAGGAGAAGGGGCCGAGTGTTGATGGAGGCTGAGTTAACTGTGGAGTGGTCCTCAGCCCTTGGATGTCATGACTAAGATCTGAGCAATTTCCCCTGTGCAGGAACAGAGGTAGAGCAAGACAGGGATGGTAATTATAGCAAGAGAAAGAGAGATACACCTCAGGGAGAGGGGCAAGAAAATCAGCCAGGGGGACAAAATGCTTAGGCTCTACCTTGTTAGGCAGGGGTAGGAGCTTCCAATGGCAGGTGGCCACACCTCTTCAGGCCTGGCGCTTGCACGGCCTCTGCCTGTTTGGGGAAGTCAGATTCCTGCACGGCCTGAAAACTCAGGACATGTGCCTGCATGCTTGGGTCACTTTGTCCTCCCTTGCCTAATGCCACTCTTGGAAGGTCATATAACAGTAAACTGACCCTCAGAGAAGCTTGTGGGAGTGTGTGAACATAATATGTGCTCATAAATCTATGGGAGAGCATGCTGGGCCTCCTGTGACTGGCAGTGTCATTTGATGGCTCTAAGTAGTGTGTCCACCTTCCTAAGATGAGCATAGCACCACCCACACACGGGAGGCGGGATTCATGCTCCTATGGTGATGGCTGTGAGTCCTCTGGGACAGTTGCTGGTCAAAGGCCCTTTCACAGCTGCCACCTCCCTTGTTTTCCTCTTCTGCCATTCCTGCTCACCCCCAGCTACCTACCTAACACAAAGATCATCAGCTCGGTGCTCCCCTACTTGGAACTGACCCCCATCTTCCTTTTGGAAGTCCAAGGGGGCCAACTTTGGGCCTTGGACAAAGAGCAGAGCTGTGGTCACACTCAATGGTTAGGTGGTCTGGGATCCCCTGGCCCCGGAGACCCTGGTGATCTAGCTCCCCCCACCACCACCACAGACCCTGTACAGACCTCCTCCCAGGGACCTGTGACCAGTGCTGATGGGATTCTGGAGACAGGACATTGGTTCAGGAGAATGAATACAGGACTTGAATTGTGAGTCTGGGGTCTAGGCCTGGCCCCGCTACTGACTGGCTGAGTCACCTGTGGTAGTCTCTTCCTCTCTGGACCTCAGTGCCTCCCCATAAGATGAAGGCTCTGAACCAGTAATTTCTGAGGAAAAGTTCAGCTCTCTGGCTTAAAGAGAGAGAGAGAGAGAGAGAGAGAGAGAGAGAGAGAGAGAGAGAATAAAAAAAGACACAGGACTTTGCATAGACTTCAGGAGCTTCTCATCCTACCCTAGGCCTTTGCTGGACTTCCCAGGGTCCCTGGTTCCCACAGCAAGAACTCTAACTGCCACACAGCTGCTGGCTCACACTCACATCTGTCACTTTCTAAGCAGCCAACGATTTCCCCTAGCTCCCTGGCTTGGGCCAGGGAAGGCGGCAAAACAATTAACAATGAACCCCAGGGCTCCTCTCCAGTTCACAGGGGAGCAGGGAGTCAGGCTGGGCTGCTTAGACAGGAAACTAGCCAGAGAAGGGGGCAGGCCACTTACCTAGAGAGTTTAGACCATGACCTCAGGAAGCAGGGACTACAGTAATGACAGCACTCCCTTTACTGGGACAAATGCTTAGGCTTCTGACCGCCCATGGCAGTATAGAACAGTGGTAGGAGCTTGGAATCAGCAGCTAGAATACTCTGGATTTATGTCTGACTGCTGTTTAATCACGTTACTTGGGCAAAATACACTGTGTCTTCAGGTTCTCATCTGTGAAATAGAGATAAGAGTGACACAGCAGAAACAGTGATGCACAATAAATATTCCAAGATTCCCTTGAATTTCCTAGCCTCCCTGGCAGAAGTCTGGGGTCACTTCTGTCCAATGGTCCACGAGTGGACAAGGCAGATGTCACACCTGGCAGAGATAGTAATGTGTCTAGGTGCTTCCTCCATACAGCAATCTCTCTCTCTCTCTCTCTCTCTCTCTCTCTCTCTCTCTCTCTCTCTCACTAGAGATTTACCCCAGGCACTTTACCACAGAACTATATCCCGGGCCTTTTTGGGGTTTTGCTTTTATTTAGAGACAGAGTCTCACTAAGTTGTTGAGACTGGCTTTTGAACTTGTGATTCTCCTGCCTCAGCCTCCCAAGTTGCTGGGATGAGGCGTGCTCCCATCTCCTTTAGTGACCTTCGGGTCAGTCCTCCAGGTGGCCTGGCTACAGGGTGGGAGACGAGTCTACTGCCCCCAAACAGACTTTATACAAGTGGTAAATAAATCATTGTCGTGCCAAGTCACTGTGTAATATTTTTTTAAATTAAGTTTAAATTTAAAGTTGAATTTAAGTTTTGTTTTGCCATTTAAAGTCTTGTTTGGGTACAGCGCGACGGAGGCCCTCCTCTGCAGTCCAGGGCTGGCCCCTTCTCCCCTCCGTGCCTTCCACCGGCTTCTAGCAGCCGGACAGGGCTGAGAGGGGAGGCCAGCGTCGCCTCCGGTGGGACAGCCTGTGACCATGACCGCCCCGCCCCCTCGGCTGCCGCGCGCACCCGGCGCCGGTCACGCGGTGGCTTTATCCCCGGGCCCCGGGGTCCCGCCCTCTCCGCCGCCACCGGGCCATGGCCGCCGCCGTCGCACTCCTGGTGGCCCTTCTGCTTTCTTGCTGGGGCAGGTTCCACGGGCATAAAAAGGTGAGCCCAGCGAGCGTCCCCAACCTGCCGCTGTGACGTGGGGAAGTGGGGTCAGTGGGCCCGATGACCCGCGTCCCCGAACCCCCTCGGGCTGTCTCAGCCCTGGTCTCACTTCCCCTCCCCACCTGGCTTCTCCCTCTCTCCGATGCTCAGTGGCCCTTCTAGGCACAGTGGCTTTCCCCCCTGCCTCCTCCTCCTCTCCCCTGTGATCTGGGAGTGTCCGTCCCTCCCCAGCACCCAGCGCCTTTGGGAGCCACGGAAGTGTGGGGGAGGGGTCAGGAAAGGAGAGGAGGGAGACTCCCACCCCCCACTCTCCATCTCCCCCTCCCCTGAGTTCTGCAGGGGAGCTGGTGCCTTGGGGCGTGGGACCTGGGGGTGACCACCTCATCGCTTCTCCTCGTGCATCCCTGGGTTCTTTGACAGTGTGGGGACTCTCCCTGATCCTCCCACACAGCCAAAGAGCTAGTGGCTAAGGGACTGTCCCCAGCCTGGCAGACATCCTGCCTGTCCCCACAGATCAGCGGGGACAGGTGTTCTCATCACTCTGAATGCTTCAGTGACTGCTGCCTCATGGATTTAACCGCTGGAGGAGCTTTCTGTGCTCCCAAGGCCAGAAAAGCCATGGCGTGCCTGCCCCAGGTGAGGCTCTGGGTTGAGGCAGCTCCTTTTGGCAAGTAGGGAAAGGGGTGGGAGAGGTTTCAAAACCTGTGTGGCTTTTGCACCCCGTCTTCTTGGAGCACCCTTCTTTCTTCTCCACTTGGCACACTCCCTCTCATCCTGCAAAACAAGGTTCTGAGAAGCTGTCCCTTTTCCGAGCACCCATGCCCTGGACTCATATCCTGGGCACAGCAGGCATCTCCCTGATTTGCTCTGGCTTCAATGGTGAGAGCACATAAGGGCAAAGATTGTGTCATTCTTCTTAGGAGCCATAACTCTGAGCTTAGTGCCTTTCCATAGTAGATGCTCAACAAACATTTGTTGGATGAATGAATATCTCTGCCCTAACATCCCTGAGGCAAGGTGGGCAGGAAGAGTCCTCTCCTGACCTATCCCCATCTCCCTGCCACAGTGACCTAGTTTCTAGAGACATGCAGGTTGCTACAGGGGCTGGTCTTCAGCTTTAGAGTTGAACCTAAATTTAAATCCTAATTTTTCCAGTCTTGTTTTTGTGACCTCAAACAGATTACCTCTGCTTTCCGAGGCCCAATGTCTTCTTTTCCGGAATCCCTGAGTTCTTTGATAATTCTGGGACCTCTTCCCAATCCTCACCATAGCCAAAGAGCTAGTGAATAAAGTCCCTTCCCCATGTGGTTGTTGAGAAGAGTCCTGGCTAGAGCAGTGCGTAGTCAAGCATGGTTGTCATTTGCTAGTGGAAACATAGGCAGCAGAGTGCCTTGTTCCTGGTCATCTGGCCCCAGGCCCAAACCTCTCTAGGGAGGATGGGCCTGGCCTCCATGAACCCATCTGGGAAGCTCCCAGTGCTGACCAGGCCTCTACTGTGGCCTGACCTTAGAGCTGAAGGGGCCAGAGGGTCTTTTTATTAGGGTCACCTGACAGATTTTATGTCCCTTAATTCTTACAATGACCCTATCAGATGGGCTGCTCTTATTTTCCCCACTTGACAGATGAAGGAACTGAGCCACAGGGGCTCCTTACCTTGTCCCGGGTGGCACAGTCATGAGCTGTTGAGCCATTGACCCCGGGCCCTCTCACTCCTGCCCTTGTGCCCTTGCTCCTGAGAGTTTAAGCACCTTCCTTCCTGCATCCCAGCGACTGCAGCTCTCCTACCTGCTCCCCACAGACCAAGGGAGCCATGAACATCATCTGCCCCTGCAAAAGGGGCTTGAGTTGCTCATCCAAGGACGTGATGTGTCCCCGCCGGTGCCACTTGATTTAGAGGAGGATACAGGCTGGTCAATTTCTTGGGGCCAGAGGCCCTGGCCACCCCCAACTGACTCCAAATCCAGCTCCTGAGACATTAAAATCACTTTCTGGCTCTGGTTTCTGTCTGCACTTTTTGGGGGAGGGCCCCTATGGGGACAGTCCCAGTCTGGGGGAGGCAAAAGGAGGGAAAGGGGTGGGAGTAAATATTCTTAGCCTGTAAATATTCTTACCCAGTAAATATTCTTTCATAGCCTGTGGCTATGAAAGAATATTTACTGGGGCTCAGGGACAGGGAGAGTAGGTAAGAGAGGGGACTGCATCCAGTAAAGGACCCAGCTCTTGAGATGAAGAGCTTCATGGGGGGGGCAGGTTGAAGGATGTGCCTAGAGAGCATATCCTGGGGTACCTCTGGATGGAGGTGTGTGGGGAGGGATGGAGAGGGAGTGCCTGCATATTCTATAGAGAGGAGCAACAGGGTGGAGGTCATTGAGAAAATGCCTGTGAGAACACATGAGAAATACAAATGCAAAACTGTGCATGCCTAGGGGGCTGAGGAGCCTGGTGCATTGATGTCTCCATGCTGTCAGATATTATCAGCTCCCTGATATGGAGAAAGAAATTGAGGCTCATGGGGAGCTACATTAATTGCTTGAGGTCATATCATTAGGATATCAAGGTGGATTTTTTTCTGCTGCAAGTATGTCMTTTGAAAAACCAACCCAAATTGGGTTGATGATGAGGGTTTAATTGGTGGTCAGAAATGAAAGTCCCATGTTAAGGTAGGCCTCAGGCTGAATCCAGCAGCTCCATCCCCAGTAGCTTAGCAATGGCAGAAGTTCCAGGTTTCACCTTAGTGTGTTCCCAACCACTGTACCACCACCACCTTCTCCTTCTCCTCCTCCTCCTCCTCCTCCTCCTCCTCCTCCTCCTCCTCCTCCTCCTCCTTCTCCTTCTCCTTCTCCTTCTCCTCCTTTTCCTTCTCCTCCTCCTCCTCCTCCTTCTCCTCCTCCTCCTTCTCCTCCTTCTTTCTTTCTTCTTCTTCGTATAGGGGATTGAACCCAGAGGCACTTAACAAATGAGCCTTATCCCCAGCCCTTTTAAATATTTTATTTAGAGACAGGCTGTTGTTGAATTGCTTAGAACCTTGCCAATTTGCTGAAGCTGGCTGTGAACTTGGTGATTTTCCTGAGCCACTGGGATTACAGGTGGGCACCACTGCACCCTGCTTGCCTACTGCACTTTGATAACTGTATTAATTCATCTTATTGTCACAACAAGGTTATATGTAGTAAATACTATAATTATCTCTATTTTATAGATAGGGTGTTGAGTCTCCCAAAGTAAAGGGTAGAGCTGGGTCCTGAACCCAGACAGTCTTGCTCCAGAGACCAGGCTCCTAACCCCATCTCCACCTCATTCATCCATCCTTTCAGAGAAAGAAAAAAATCTGTTCCCAATTCTCAGCAAACATCCTAAGATTGATCCTGATCGGACTGACTTAGTCCACCTTGACTACTCATCGTCTTGGCATTTGCTGATTGGCTTAGCCTGGGTTATATGCAGGATGGGTGGATGCACGTTTTACCTGGTGTTTCCACAGCCAGGAAGGCACCAACCTGGTCAGGACTCAGTCCTCCACCTGCTTTCATGGCCAGATCCTGATGAAGAGCCCTGACCCCCGTGCTCATGTCTGCACTCACTCTCCTGGGCCAATGAAGTGCCCCTACTTCACCTGAAAAACTGTCTGCTCTGGGAGCACTGTGCTCTGGACCCACTTGCCACCTTGGTTTGTTCTGTTTTTGTATAACAGAATACCCCACACTGGGTAATTTACCATAGGAAAGAGATTTACCTGGTTTGCCAAGCACAAGGGCACACAACTATAATCCCAGCGACTTGGGAGGACTGCAAGTGCAAAGCCAGCTTCAGCAACTTAGGGTCCTAAGCAACTTAGGGAGACTCTGTCTCAAAACAAAAAATAAAAAGTGCAGGTATGTGGATCAATGGTTAATCCCTGGGTTCAATCCCCAGTACCAAAGGGGGAAAAAAGAAGATGAAGAAAAAAAGAAAGAAAAGAGGTTTACCTGATTTGTGGTTCTGGAGCCTGGGAAGTCCAAGGGCATGGTCCTGACATTTTCTTGACATCCGGTGAGGGCTTCTTTCCTGTATCATCCCATGGTGGAAGGCAGAAGGGCAAGAGAGTTCCTGTGAGGATGGGACCAAGAGGGCTGAACCTACTTCCCCTGAGTTTTTTTCAAACAAGCTAAACAGTTCTCTATCTTTACAACAAACCCACTCTCAGTAACTGTTGCATTAGTATATTAGTCAGGTTTCTCCAGGGGATCAGAATCAATAAGAGGTAAGATTATAAAAAGGGGATTTATTAGATTGGCTTACATGATCAGAAGCTAGATAGTCCACAATGGCTGTCTGCAGGCTGGAGAGCTGGAAGAACCAGTAGCTGCATAGTCCAAGAGGCCAAAGCCTCAGAACAAGAGGGATCAATGGTGCTACCCTAGTCTGAGACCGAAGGCTTCTGGAAACTCCCTGGAGAATCACTGGCAGAGTCACTTTGGAAGAGTGAAGACATGAGAGAATGATATCCACAGGAGATTGCAGCAGCAATCAGGAACTCATTTGAGAAGACTGGAGATTGCATCTGCTGCTGATTCCTTGTTCTTCCAACTTTTATTCCCTCTAAACTGCCCATGCTTGCAGAGGGTGTCCAGTTCACTATCCCACATGCCAGTCATTCCTAGACACACCCTCACTGAACACCCTCAAGCTTCTTTAATCATTGGCATTTCTCTCTCTCTCTTTTTTTTTTTAAAGAGAGAGTGAGAGAGGAGGAGAGAGAGAGAGAGAGAGAGAGAGAGAGAGAGAGAGAGAATTTTTAATAATTATTTTTTAGTTCTCTGCGGACACAACATCTTTGTTGGTATGTGGTGCTGAGGATCGAACCTGGGCTGCACGCATACCAGGCGAGCACGCTACCGCTTGAGCCACATCCCCAGCCCCTCTCTCTTTTTTTTAAGATTCATTTTTCTATACCTTTATTTTCTTTTTATTTCATTTTTACGTGGCACCAAGGATCTAACCTAGTGCCTTGCATATGCTAGGGGTGCACTGTACCACTGAGCCACAACCATAGCCCCTCATTGGCATCTCTTAATCCAATCAAGTTGACAATTCAAGTTAATCATTACAATTAGGGAGTAAGTTTCCAATACACTTTGGGGGTCCCATTCAAAGGCTAGCACCACCCTCATTTGATATAATCACCTTTGCCTCATACAGAAGTGAGGACTTGCTTTTTCTCCTGTTATTGTATCTTTTTTAAAAATTGTAGTCCTTTGTGTGTGTGTGTGTGTGTGTGGTGCTAGGGATTAAACCCAGGGTCTTATACATATGAGGCAAGTACTCTACCAACTGAGCTATATCCCCAGCCCTGTAGTCTATTTTTTAATATGTACATATTTTAGATAGTAGAATGAAACAGATGTTATTACTTTATGTATGTGACTGTATGACCGATGTGATTCTACAATATGTATGCTTAGAAAAGTGAGAAATTATATCCCATCTATGTATGATATATCAAAGTATGTAAGTGCATTCTACTGTCATGTATAACTAATTAAAACAAATAAAAATTTTTTTTWAAAAATTTATATTTTTAGTTGTTGATGGACCTTTATTTTATTTATTTATTTTTAAGTGTTGCTGAGAATCGAACTCAGTGCCTCACACACGCTAGGCACGTGCTCTGCCACTGAGCCACCACCCCCACCTGCTGTTATATCTTGATCATTTTCCCCATGGTATCAGAGTCTTTTCAAAAACATGAATTACTGCCTTAAATTTTTTTATCCAGATGGACTATATTTTACTTCACTATTTCCCTGTGGATAGACATGAAGATCATTTCCAAACCCAAACCTGTGTGTTTCAAGATACAAATTTATAGCTGCAGAAACAAACACACACTCAAATGAGGGCTGAAGTGAGTTCAAGAACTGTCCTGAGGAGGCTCTGCAGGGTCAGTGTGGCTCTTCTCCCACCTCCTTCCATTGTCATGCTTGGCCCCCTGCTGAGCCCCCCCCACCCTGACCACATGATGATATAGATGCTCCTTGAGGTAGGATGGGGTCACATTCCAATAAACCCATTGTACATGGAAAGTCTCATAAGTTGAAAATTCACTTAATACACTTAACCTAGAGAACATTCTAGCTAATTCTACTTTAAATGTGCTCAGAATACTGGCACTGACCTACAGTTCTGCACAAAATCATCTCCTTTTTCCTGTTTTTGTGGTACTGAGTGTAAAATATGGAAAATGACAAACCCCAGAATAGTGTGGCCTGTCCCTGTTCTCCAGATAACCTCTTCCAGTGACAGGACAATCCCTGGGAAGGTGATACCCATCAAGCCTAGAGTGACAATCTCTGGGAGGAAGCCAAAGCATTGATCCTTCTCTAGATAGATTTTTATCCAGGGACAGTACAATGGGACCCTGAAGGGAAAGAGACATGCACTGAACACTGACCCCCAGACCCCCTGTTCTTTCCCAAGTAAAAGCATTGCCAGTCAAAACAAATTTCAAGTTCTCACAAACCTGTTTCCTAAGTGTCCAAACTGACACACTCTGTCAATAATTAAGTCACCTCTCAATGTAACGTGTATAAGCACAGATTCCTCCTTTGGCCAGAGACTCATTTCCCAGCAAGAAAGTGTGTCCACCAGATGCATGACTCCACCGCTGAATAAAGGCTTGCTGATCCGTGTAGTCTGCACCCAGCTCAGTCATTTTGTGCTAACCCTGAGGATTGAACCCTGGGCCTTGTACATGCTAGGCAAGCACTCTACCACTGAGCTATCTGTGCAAGTTGTTGGTACAAAATGGAGTAACTTATGTCAAACTCTAACAAAATGGGGCTGGGGGGCCACGAAGGCCTCACACATGTATTCCTATAATAGGAACTGCCATGAAAGTCTTTCCCAAGCCAGAAATTTCTAGTTAAGCCTCTTTTATGAAGACCCTCTCCTAGCAAAAGCTAGTACCACCAATGAACGAAAGCCACCTTCTGTGATAAGCTCCCACAACCAGTG